TATGATTATTTCCTCCTATGGAGGCAAAGCCACAATGTCTGCAGCCACTTTTCATATTAATTATTATTATATGGCTGTGTCTCACAAAGACTGGGAACAACAGAATTCACGAATTTGATTGGCTGAAATCAATATTGAAAGCGGTCTAGATTTTCCCATCTAAACCAGCATCTAGACCGGTCTAGAAAAAAAGGTACAAAGAATATAAAAAATTGGCATATAAGACAACCATATAATAAACATCTTATTAACCGAGCTAGGTCGGTCTGTATGGGAGAATCTTGACCTCGGTCGCTGGTACAGACTTCACTGCGTTCGGTCTGTACTGGCGACCTCGGTCAAGATTCTCCCATACAGACCTCCCGCTCGTTAAATAAGAACTAATTATTCTATTGTTATTCTTTTTTTTCTTTAACACGAGTTTTACACCTTTAAGTGTTTAAGTTTCATCATTGCTTCTCATACACGGAAGCAAAAATGAAATATCACGATTTAACTCCCCAAAGGAACATCAGTTCATTAAATCCTGCGTCTTCAACATTTGGGAAACCAACATCATGACGAAACAGATGTGCGTAAACAGAGATCTACCAATATTAAGAAATGACATATTTGAAACATCCTCTCTAGCGAAAGCAAATTCAAAGTTAATATGAGTATATTGAGTTGTTTTATCTACATAGAACGACTTCATACAATGGTAAGTTCTTAATTAGTGGAGAGACAGCACAATCATCGTTGAGGAGTAAAAATGATGCAAATTTACATGCGGCAGTCTGTCGCATTCAAGTAATAGCACGTTGTTTACATGAGGTACATTGTCCTTTGAAGTGAAACGGCTTGTTTGATGTTCTCTGCCAAAGTTCAATCTCGTGACTGGCAAAGCGTCATACTCTTAATGGAGCCATGATAAAAATCTCAACGAAAGCGAAAGGGTGAACATGTTGTTCAGAGTTTTCAGAAGGCCAAGATATCTAATACTGCCGAACAGCTTTTTCAGAAACTGTGCAGGTCTAGGACTATCGAAACCGTATGTTAAGTTCGTATTCTGCCCAGTGGTAGATCTAACTTAAAAGAGTGACCAAACGCCTTTAGAAAAGTTGTCCTCAACACAAAGTTGAGGTTGCGGTTCCTTAGGAATGACGGAGAACTTTCGAGTAGGTTTCATACTTCCTAGAATTAAACAAAGCCTTTCTACCAACAAATTTATACACCAGAATCAATCGTCCGTCAGAAACAGCTGAAAATATCTTGTTATACAATAAAAACTTTTATAAGTAAAATATTACTAGGGGGGTTGATCCAAACGGGCTTTGTGAGCTTAAAGAAACGAGAACATATAAATCGAAATGTACGTGAAATTGTGTTTCAACAAATTCCACGCCGCAACAGAAAGGGCAACAATATTAATGAAGACCATTTGATCGTATAGATGTTCGTAAAAACGATTTTTAGAAACATATTATAGCCATGCAATTTGAAATGAACGGAAGTTTCTGAAATTTCTGAGGTTTTCGATGTTACCTGTCATCAAAGCGATAGTTGACGCGGACGAAGAAGATCATCAAGTTCATCAGCCGGGTTCAAGCCATTTACTGCAGACAAGCCTATCGTCATAGACTTATGCTTGACCGACTTATGCTTAACAGTAACACCTGCCTCTGTTTTGAGTTAAAAAGGGTATATTGATGAAAATTTACGTCCTTTGACTAATTCCAAGGAACGTATCGTAGAAACGTTGTATAAAATACTCAAACTTACCTATTGTCCTCAAGAACGAGTTCAAAACCATTTCAAACCGCTTGGACACGTGACCGTTCAAGCGCCTACCACTACAAAGCGACACCGCGGAAATACGTTTTCGTGACGTCACAGTAACTGCTTAGTGGTCATCAACTTTAGGGTGCCAAGCGCTTCCATATGTTTGTAGACTGAGTTCAATGAAAACAGCGGCCTTTTGCGTGGTTTTAAGTTGGAAAATATGCATGATACTTCTCCTTGTTTGATATATTTGATCCTTTGAATGTTTTTTTAATACTGAAACCACGTCTTAACAGATAGCGGTATAGGGGAGTCATTTTGTTTGGAGTTGTGTGCTGTTTGCTGACTTAGGCTGGCCGTCCAGTTACGAAGCGCGATCTTGGTTCTTCAGTCGCCCTCGCCTTCAGAATTGTCAAAAACAGCGATAGTTATCCAGACAAAGCAGGAGATTAGTTCTGTAAGATACTTT